CCCTTGCCTTTCTTTAGTGCAGCAGAAGCTGGACTTTTTCAAGGACTTTTACTTCTCTCAGTAGTCCTGACTCCGATAATTTCTGCAGCTTCATGTGAGGCATTCGCAGAAGCTTAGAAAAGTCATGGGGTTGATTGGTTTCAGTATTATCGCTTTCAGATCACGCTAAACACTCGTACATATTGAAGCTGTTGGATGGTCTGTGTCTGGTTGTTTCATCTGCTGAAGAGACACTGAGATGTTCATTCTCCCCTTCACTCTGTCGATTCTCCCTGAAAAGAAGTGTGTCCACAACCGTATTCGTTAGCCGCTTCTTCTCAACCAGAACAAACTGCTCCATCTCATTCTTACGCAAGAGGCGAACGTCCAGAGACTTTTAAGGTCAGTAATCGTTTCGCAGAGAAATGCAGCTTTTCGCCGCAGCTGCTGGGGCGTGTCAGGAGAGGGCCCGTGTATGGCGCGGCGTAGTCCGTTCTTCATCAGTTATTCAAGCGAGCAAGCGACAACTGGTGGAAAATGGGGTGGCGCTGTGCCAAACCATCCCTTTCCGCTGTCCGTGCCTATCTCCCTGACACGCTCCACTGTCTACAGCGGAAACGACTATATCAAGGCCTTTGGGAGACGGACAAGACAATCGTAATTTGTCGTCGCGCGCGGTGTACCGTACGGAGATAGCGGTAAATCCATGATGTGCTTCAGTTATTCGACCGGCGATCAGGGCACATCGTTGTTGGGGAATCCCCAATAGGGGGGGGGTCGTATTTGGCCGCCAGGAGAGGGGGTCGTATTTGGGCTGGGAAAAATTTATTTTGATAGTTGATTTTTCTCGCTTCACGGACGTTGTAAAGGGGGGGGGGTCGTACTTGGTCATTGTTGGGAGGGGGAGCGTATTCGTGTTTACATTTTAGTGTTTCGATGATCCCCCACAAATCCTATCCGCAGCCTCATCGTGGCGTGGGGGTGAACGGTTTTGGACTGTTCCAAAAACGTACCAATGCGGAGGGTGCCACGTCAGAGCCTGGCGAGCTACGCGTGGTTAATTTTCTTCTCGCCGAAAACAGTAACAACTATGGGCCTCATTCCCCTGAAGCTGAGGGAACCACCGACAGGGCGACGTCGGCTGGGACCGCTCGGACGAGGCTGCTAGAATCACAGGGCCAACGGAGATTTGAGTCGCCCAGGACTAGGATGACGATCTGTACTTTCAACGCACGGACGCTTGCATCGGAAGCTCACATCGAAGATCTGATGTTGCAAGCCAGGAAGATCAAGTACGACGTCATCGGACTGACCGAGACGAGGAGGCATCGCCCGCTACACGCCGTGTACGAGACTGGAGAAGAACTGTTCCTCGGAACATGCGACAGCAGAGGCGTTGGCGGTGTGGGCGTCCTCGTCAACACGCACTTGGCCATGAACATCGATTCGTACGAAAGTCTGACGACCCGAATCGGACGTTTGCGATTGAGAAGATGTGGTTCAACTCCAGCTTTGACAATCTTCGTCGCCTACGCACCAACATCAAGCTACGACGAGGAGCTCGAAGCGTTCTATATGGAATTGGAGAAGTTCTACAAGGAAGATCATACCTTCTTCAAGGTCATCGTCGGTGATTTCAACGCTAAGATCGGACCAAGAAGAACGGCTGAAGAACTTCACATCGGAACTCACGGAACGGAGTGGAATGAGCAGGGTGAAAGGCTGTCTGAGTTTATCATGTCGACCCATACCATCCATGGTAACTCGCAGTTCCAGAAGCCCTACTCTCTACGCTGGACATGGGAGTCTCCTGGTGGACAATTCCATAACGAGATCGACCACATCATCTGCAATCGAAGGTTTTGCCTGACCGATGTCGCTGTTGTCCCTAAGTTCTACACGGGATCCGACCATCGCCTCCTTCGCGCAAGATTCCGCTTTTCGATGCGAGGAGAGAGAGCCGCAAAGTTCAAGAAGCGAAGCCCCAAGACCACCATCAACTGGGATCACTTCACTTCTCTCGCTGGGCTCTGGGAGGATTCTGTCATCGACAACATCGACGAGGAATACGAACGGCTTGTTGCACATCTTCACGACTGCGCCAAGAAGTCAGAGGGTTCCAAGATTACCAAGAAGCGTCTATCTCTGGAAACTCTCGAGCTGATTCGCCAACGTGGAGCCGCACGAGCCGCAGGCAATTACCAGCTGACGTCTGAGCTTGCGAAGCTATGCAGAGGAGCGATAAAGGAAGACCTCAAGGAGAGAAGAGCAGCTACTGGTGGAAGCCGCAGAGGCTGGGAAGAGCATACGCAACGCCGCGCGACTTCGCCAACTGTAAGACCAAGATGACCGCCCTCCGACGTCCGGATGGAACAATCACCGCATCCAGAAGGGCAATGGAGAAGGTCATCCACGACTTCTACTCGGATCTCTTTGACAGCCACGTCCACCTGCAACCATACGCGCTTTGAGCAACGGATGGAATTCGTTCCTGCCAGTCTCTCTGCCCGAAGTCCGACACGCCCATCTCGTCGGTGAAGAATCGTACGGCACCCGGTCCCGACAGGATCAGACCCGAACATCTGAAGAATCTTCCGCCAGTTCTCGTCAAAACTCTGGCTCGACTCTTCACGCGCTACCTGTCGGAATGCAAGGTACCCACCTCGTGGAAAACCAGCAAGACTGTGTTGCTGTACAAGAAGGGAGACCTGTACGACATTGGCAATTATCGCCCAATCTGCCTGCTGTCTGTAGTCTACAAACTCTTCACACGAGTCATCCTTAACAGGATTGGAAGAACACTAGACGAAGGACAGCCATGCGAGCAAGCAGGGTTTCGAAGAGGATGCACGATCGATCACATCCACACGGTAACGAAGCTCATCGAAGTATCGCGAGAGTACAAGATGCCGCTATGTCTCACGTTCATCGACTTGAAGAAAGCCTTCGACTCCGTTGAGACAGAAGCGGTTATCGAAGCCCTGGGCAACCAGGGTATTCCTGCTCAGTACATGGATTCTTCCGGTGAGCTCGTACAGGCAACTTCCACGGACCAAGATCTCACCATTTACAAGGAGATCATCATTGATGTGAAGAGAGGGGTCCGACAGGGCGACACCATCTCGCCCAAGCTCTTCAGCGCCTCTCTCGAGAACGTCATGCGTCAACTGGAATGGGAAGACATGGGAGTGAAGATCGACGGTCGGCAACTACACCATCTCCGCTTTGCTGACGACATCGTTTTGATAACACCAAACATCGAGCAAGCGGAACGAATGCTGGCTGAATTCGACTGCGCGTGTGGAACAATCGGTCTACGGCTGAATCTAACGAAGACGATGTTCATGAGAAACGGATTGGTATCTGATGCCCCATTCACGCTCAACGGAACGACCATCTCTGAATGCTCTAGCTATGTGTACCTAGGTCGTGAAATCAATATGATGAATGACCTAGCTCCAGAGCTGAGCAGGAGGAAGCGAGCGGCTTGGGGAGCCTTCAAGAACATCGAGGGAGTAGCGAAGAAGACGAACACAAGCTCCGTGCCCACCTCTTCGATTCCGCGGTCCTTCCTGCCTTGACGTACGCCTCAGAGACTTGGACTCTACGAAAGCAGGATGAGCATGCGGTCGGCGTTATTCAACGCGCCATCGAAAGGGCGATGCTCGGAGTTTCCCGCTACACGCAAGTGAGAGAGGGAATCCGGAGCTCCGCACTCCGCCAACGATCGAAGATCAGAGACGCCGCATCTGCCTGAACGCAATTTCCAAGGGTTCGCAAGATAGATGGGCCGCGACACGTGTATGCGTATTCGAGGACGACCGCTGGACCAGAGCAGTCACCGACTGGATTCCACGGGATGTCAAGCGAACGCCTGGACGACCGCCTATGCGATGGTCAGACTTCTTCGTGAAAGCTCTGAACGAATGGTATGAAGTTCATCGTGTCCCTCGAGCTGAGAGAGTTCATTGGGCAACTCTTGCACGTTGCAGGGACGAATGGAGACGTTACTGGCGCCCGCTCGAGGAACTCGATGATCAACGGGAGCACAGGTGATACAGGTGAGTTGAGGTGATGGCCTGACTTTCTGGTGACCTTTTCCTGTTTAATTCGTTTCTATATTGACTATTTACTATTTCCGTAAATATTCCCCTCTCCTTCCCCTACGCGCTCGGCAAGCAAAATTTTCGGAGCAATTTGGGGAAATTTTCTTGGGATTTGTTGGAAAAAGTAGCAGGGAAGTTGGCAAATCTGAGAGTGGTAGAGGGATTGTAATTGTCTCAGCGACTTTTTCGCGTTTCATATGGTGCTATTTCTCCCCCCCCCTCCTCCCTCTCCCCCTCCGCCCTCCTCGAACGGCTCGACTTGAGGAGGGCGGAGGGGGGGGGGGGGGTCGTACAGGCTCGACTAAAATTCCCAACCAATGATGTGTCCTGCCGACGATATTGAATTCTTTCGCCCCCTAGCACTCGAACTCGAATGGCAAGGCAGGAATACTCGTTCGCGCGCGACGTGTTTCGATTGTCCTGTCACGAGCTGCCGCCCACTTCACAGTTCAGTGTTATGAAAGTCTCTGATGGTGCAGTATGAATAATAAGTTTATATTTTCTTTTTCAAGCTTGATGGAAAATGTTACGAAACAGGATTCAACGTGGAATGTGAGCCCTGGAGTCTGCAGCTTCTTCAACGTCGCTTATTGTTAGAACAGCAAAATCCGTTATCTTTGGTAAAAACGAGGATAGTTGATCACATGCACCAAACGTATAGGAAATCAGGTACGCTATTAGTGATGTGTATGTAAGAATGCAAGCGTAGCGGCGCAATAGTTCATGTCTTATTTCGAGTCGGCCTTCTCAGAATGACTAAATAAAGAGGAGTCAATGACTTTTCAAGACATGTACATTCTTGTTGTTCACAGGTGATGAGGCGTGTCACTGTGGCTTTAGCGCGCCGCCAGCCCGTTCTCCTCCGGTTGTTAGCTACAGGCAGTTCGTGAAGAACGACTGTACGATAGATATATACAGTTCGTGCTTTTGAAAGGAAAAAGAAAACGGGCTGGCCACTGCGGCCACGACCAGGGCCCCATCATCGCAGCGACAAGACTTTAAATCAAAGTGCTATTTAGACGCAATAACACATATCTACACTATTAACAGTTAGTCGTCTGGACCTTGCACTTTAGGGCACCCATCAGAAACTCCGCTCCAAGCGTTGCTTGAGGCGATAAATCGGGGCACTGATAAGAGTTCCTGGAGTAAATGAAGCTTCAATGATATAGGAAGTAGCTGTTACTTTTCAAAACAAGGGTGAAAAAAAGGCATAGCAGCGTCCGTTATGGCGTGGAATTGGCCACCGTTACTGCTCGGTAATCTGCGTCCATGGGGCGAAGGTGGGCGAGTGGCAAGTGGCTCGCTAGCCGCGCGCTCGCGTCTGGGGTGGAAACCCAGACCTCCCCACCTCAGGCTGACGAAGCCCTGTGATACGCCAGTACTGTGAAAGCGGTGAACTGCGTAGCAAATCCTCCTGGAGAGAATGAAACTTGACTTTGTATCGGTTGTTCCCGATGATTAATAATACTCGTTCCAGGATTACGGAGTCCGCTCTTCACCGTCTGTGAAAAGGAGCCTCGAGTTGTAACCACATTCGAAAATTTTGACTCACTTTTGACTCCAGATGACCATGTATCGAGGTCAGGTATGACACAATCTGATTTGTATTTAGATTTATCTTTGTCTGATTTGTATTTAGTTACTTGACTGGTAGCTAGTACAGCAATCGTATAGGCTGCAATTGTGGTGTCGAAAATTATTTTTCCGCTTTTCAACAAATATTCTTTTCCTTCTGAAGACACTACTTCTTTTTCTATCGAGAAAACTCGATTCTATTTTTGCCTTTGTGAGAAAACTCCTATTTAGCAACCTTAGAAGGCTCCTGGAAGCATATTACCGATAAGGGAAATGAGCGAATAGTTTCCCAATTTTCGGACCTTGCCGATCGACTTCAATCCATGAAGAGTAGTTGTGTGGGGAAGCAGCATTACTGTTTGAAAGCTGGCAAGGAGTTTGATATGGATTCTCCTGCACACGGGTCTAGCAAATCCAAATCCAATGTCACTGGCATCCAGACCTGTCACCACGAGTGCATAAAATAAATAATCACATATAAAATGCTCTGCAAAAATTAGCAATACTGTAAATACTGGGGCTCTGTCCAGAAACTTTTTGCAACTACTTTGTTGTAACCTGTAAAGGAATAAATTGTTAAAGGAGGCCGTCGGATACGTATTATGTAAACAAATCGCACTGTCTTCGTGCTCATACCTCTGCCCATCAATACCAGTTACTGAAAGAAGGTCTCGACGCATTCATTGTTATTGGAGACGTATACCGCCGTGACGAAGTTGATCGCACTCATTATCCTTGTTTCCACCAGGTATGAGTGTTCACTTTTCTCTATTGACCTTTATTGCGTGTGATACGGCACTCATTTACGAGAGATGCTGCATTTTGCGGAGACGGGCAAGGGATCGCAGTTTGCCCTTTGCCGCGCGCGGCGATGGGCGCGACGTTTTCTTAATTCGTGTTAACCTGTCGATTGGAGCATCGGATCACACGTGGGCTACGAAACTGTAGATATTCATGACCATTTTCGGTTCGGTACTACATTGCTGTTGTCGCCATCTGCGACTTGGAACTATCGTCATTTGCGGGCGCGACGTCGCACGCGACGCCCATCAGCGCGGTGTATTACGATTCTCTTGCTACACACCCTGTATTTTGCGCATAAGTGGAGCACGTGAATTTCTGGTTTTACGCAAAATCGCATTTGCACGGGGTGCGTGCATTTGCGGAATGGTGCAGGGGTTTGCTGTTGCCGCCAACCGCGGAATTTGGAGTTGCTCTCCACTCTAGATTTCCATGACGAGGGCTGCTTCAGAATCAGTGCTCTTTTCTAGCTAGATCAAAGGGTTGGTTCTGACACTGGCGCGGCTGTGGCCCCTTAGACATGTTGTATGCTTCATTCGCGTATTAGTTCGTGTCTTCTTGGAGGGCACATTAGACTAGAAAGAGGCACTTCACAACTTCGCAAATTATTTTTTCCTAACTAGCTTTAACTGCTATAACTAACAGGCCTAATTTGGGTAAAACCTGTAACCTGCACGCGCTTAGTTGAGAAGCATTCCATGCTCCACCAATTGCGCCGTCCAGGAATGCAACTGAGAATGCCAAGTCGAAATTGAGTGTTTTTGGGTTGCATTTTTTAGTTGTGTATGGAACTCGTGCAGTAAAAAAGTTCAACTTTGTCATGCAGAGCCTGGCTATTCAGGTGGAAGGCGTTCGGCTTTTCTCTCCGCACCAACTATTCAATTCTCCACCTGGAGCTGAAGTGGCTGTCTTTGAAAGGTCCGAGAGGACGCCAACCAAACAAGAGAAGCATACCGAGGACGCTGCTAAAGCACTTGAAATCCAGTTGAAAACTACTTTAGAAGTAAGGTTTTTGCAATCCAGCACTTGTTCTTTGTGTTTTTCTGACCTGCTACCTACTTCATTTGCTCTTAGGATCTCAGTGATGCGCTCTTTGGAAGTGAATGTGAAAAGCGATGGGTGGACGCGTATTTCCCGTTCACACATCCTTCTTTTGAACTTGAGGTGTGTTCTCCACTTTCTTTGATCTGCATTTTTGCTTTACTACTACTGTTACCATTGGTATTACATTTTCGCGGAGTCCGAAGATTCACGGTTCCCGGAGAATCTGCGAGAAGGATTATATACAAATCACACTGACCATTTCCACACTTGCACGTAGTCCAGTTAATCGATCCCTATAGGGTCCTTTTCACGGTACTTGAAATTCCGCGATTCTTCGATTTTCTCAATCCCTCAGTTCTCACATCCTGCTTGTGCATGCGCAAGTACAGGCGGAAGTCGCGTTTGGTAACCAGCCTAAGATCGATTACTCATTCTTAGCAAAGCAAGCCTAGATAAGGCACCCATTTCGAGGGAAAGCTGTGTGTTAGGGATGCACTTAGTAACCTCTAAAAACCAGATCTACCCATCCGGAGTCTTTTTTTGAGTACGATTCTTTCCCGGGTACTGAATTGACGCCATTTTCACACAGGTGTTTTATGAAGGAAAGTGGCTAGAAGTGCTCGGTTGTGGCATAATGGAGCAGCAATTATTGGAATCTGCTGGCGCTGGAGATAAGGTTGGTTGGGCGTTCGGTCTTGGACTGGAGCGACTTGCCATGATACTATACGGGATTCCAGATATACGGTAAGTTCCTAACTCTTTATGACTGAAATTTCAGTGCCGAGAATGCCAGTCTTTTTTATTTGTAGGTTGTTCTGGTCCACAGACTCAGGGTTTCTGTCGCAATTCGCTGACAAACTACCCACCGACAAGATCAAATATAAGCCGATTTCTGTACATCCTCAGGTTTCTAGTGGACTTTTTATCTTCTCGCTTCTGTCTTAGATGTCTTAGATCGACTTGGATATGCAAAAGCCTTATTGGCACAATTCATTCCAGCTCTATTCGACAATGTCGTTCTTTTTGCGCAGAGGGAGTAGTTTTATCATGGATCATGACAGCCAATGTGTATGATAACTGTAAGAAATGTTGGTGGTGATTTGGTGGAACAGGTCGGTTGGATTAGGATTACTGTATGAGTAACTTAACTTGTGAGCTTTGGCGAGCGAGGCATTAGTAGTGTTCATACTTCGCGGCAGCGGTGGCGATCGCCGCGATCGTCAGCACTCGTCAGAGCGCGCCCCACCGCTATTTCTTGCACCGCTCCGACTGCTATTTAGGACATGTAGGCTTTCCTATTTTTTCTTTCAAAGTTGAAAATTGATCCAGGTACCAGAGTTCGTTTTGACTCAAGAAAAGTGATGGAACTTATGCCTTTCCTTTTCTACTTTTCGCTTTTTTTCATCCCAGGATAGAAATTGGCGAAAGTAGGGGGCTCATTTTGTGAGTTTTCTATTGTTTCTTTTTTCATTCTTCGAAGCTCATACATGAACTTGTGAAGTTACCTTCTCCTCGATGTTGCACATTTTTCTCAGCTTATACTTCCAGATCTTCTTAGGTAGAGAAATCCTCAGTTTCCTGCTAGTAGCCATTTCAAGAAAAAAAGTATTACAAGTTGGATTTTCTTATTTATCAAAGCGGGCGTCCAAGAAATAGCGTTGGGGCGCGCTCTGATCGTGGCGATCGCCACTGCTGGTCGCGAAGTATGAACTGCTGCCTTACAGGGGAGCCATTTCGCACAGGTCCAAAGTTCTGTCGACGTAGTAGTGGCTGTAACGCATGTTAGGCCGTATAACTATACTTCGCTGCGGATGAACAGGCGTGTCAGGCAGTGGAGTGTACTACGGCAGGATACCAGTGATACAAACAATATGACACAGTTTGTCAGTTCCTCTCTTCTGGTGGAGAACTGGTTGCACGCGTTGACCTCATCCTGCCTGGAATGCCCCTTCTTTCGCAGCGAATAGACTATAGGGAACACTCTGCTAGTACTGGCGCGATACCATGCTCGAGCTCGAGTGTCGTGAATCATACTCCTCCCTGTTCTTCATCACTCTTTTCTGTAGTCCTAGCTGAGAACTCATTTATTAGAAGCTACGTAGTCTTGATATTGTTTGTTTGTTGAGTGTTTCCCCTGTGTTTCTTGGCTAAAACACTGAATTTTCTCCTCCACGGTTTGCTTTAATGGTTGTCGTTTCAGGTGATCCTTACTGATGAGTTCACCAATAAGAAGAATCGTAAAAGTCAAACTTATCGGGTCGTCTATCGGAGTAATTCAAAAGCGCTCACAAAGGAGGAAGTTAATGTAGTACATAAGCAGATCACAGATCAATTATCAGAGCTTTACGGTGTTATTTTGCGATAGCTGTTAGACTGTTCACGGTTCGAAACCAGTTGTTTGTTTACATTGTTATGTCCCTATAGTAACGCGCTTAGTTACACAATTAAAGGAAATAAATCCAGAGATATAGAATACAGTTGAAGATCAATGTATCAAGATCCTTTGTTGGATCGTGCTTGTCCAGGTCCGAAGTATGACTGATAAGTAGCAGGAGGTCAGAAGCCGAACTGGACTACGTCTTGACAATGCGCCTACGCTATTGAGAAAATAGGTTGTCTTTTGACAAGGCACTGTTTAAAGCGCAGTGGAGAATCGTCGACATGGGAAGTGTGAATGCGACCTCAACTAGCCAGACCATACGGTAAACGCAAGATGGCGTCTCCTCGACTAATATAAAGGCTAAGGGAGTAGGGTTATTACGTCTCGCAGGACGAAATTCCGCCAACCTGAGCAGAC